TTTTGACCATCGATTACATCTGTTACGTATTTCTACTTTTTTTTGCATGCATTGTTTTTCCATTCAACTCATCGAATCCCATCTACTCCAACTCATTTGCCTATCCATCCCATCCTATCAACCCGAACACACTTGTCCTCATGTTTTTAATATTTCATCCATTCGTCCATCGTATCCTTTCATTCTATTCTTATTATTTTATTCCTATCAATATTTAATACTTTGCTTCGTTCTTCCTACTTAATCAATGTTCGTTCAGATCATTCTTCAAATCAAACTTTCTTCATTGTTCGCATTATATTTATGTTCAATATCCAAAGAACAGAAAGGTAAATTAATCAGACATTGTTTTATAATCAAATTAGTGACTCGTGGAATCGTCTAGATGTCATCACCCTAATAGTATACGCCGTACTGCTTATTCTCCGAGTGATCACGTGGTCTGTTGATACTTCTATTTCAAACAATCCCCTACTGGCCGGAGCAGGATATCTTTATGGCATAAATTCCATGCTGTTGACGTTACGTGTGTTTGGTCACATCATGGAGTTAAAGGCAAAACATGGGGCTATACAGATAGCTTTGTTTCAAATCACTGAAAATATTATTGCAGTCTTTGGCCAGCTCCTCATAGTTATCTTTGCTTTTTCCCTTGCCATTTTCAAGATTCGTACGACACAAATTTCGTTTGATGGGACACCAAGTACTGTCTTTTTTGAAAGGTAAGACTTTGTCTTGGAACTAGCTAAAGGTAAGGTGGCCTTACTGAATACTACTAAAAACCCTCTCATACTGAATAAATGTAACATTTAGGGGGTCCAGATACTGAAGGAATGGAACCTGAGGTCAAAGGGGGTCCAGATACTAAATGAATGGAACATGAGGTCAAAGGGGGTCCAGATACTAAATGAATGGAACATGAGGTCAAAGGGGGTCCAGATGCTGAATGAATGGAACATGAGGTCAAAGGGGGTCCAAATACTGAATGAATCGAACATGAGGTCAAAGGGGGTCCAGATACTGAATGAATCGAACATGAGGTCAAAGGGGGTCCAGATACTGAATGAATCGAACATGAGGTCAAAGGGGGTCCAAATACTGAATGAATGAATTATGAGGTCAAAGGGGGTCCAAATATTGAATGAATGAATTATGAGGTCAAAGGGGGTCCAGATACTGAATGAATATAACATGAGGTCAAAGGGTGTCCAGATACTGAATGAATGGAACATGAGGTCAAAAGGGGTCCTTATACTGAATGAATAGAAATTGAGGTCAAAGAGGGTCCTGACACTGAATGAATGGAACAGAGGTCAAAAGGGGTCCTTATACTGAATGAATGAAACATGAGGTCAAAAGGGGTCCAGATACTGAATAAACGGAATATAAGGTCAAAAGGGGTCCTTATACTGAATGAATGGAACATGAGGTCGAAAGGGGTCAAGGTACTGAATGAATGAAACTTGGGGTCAAAGGGTGTCCTCATACTGAATGAATGGAACATGAGGTCAAAGGGGGACTGATTCCCTAGAATCGGCTCTTTAGTGGTTTATTCTAATACCTGATAAAGAAATATAATTCACATTTTTCCCCAGTTGGTGGAGCATAGCGAAGCATCTTTTGTGGTCTTTTCTTCTAGAACCACAGGTACTTCATGTACCATTTGAGAGGACCATCGTCTTCGCTCAGATTCTTTATGTGCTGTTTTTGATCATTGCCGTAGTGATGCTGATGAACATGATGATTGCTATTCTAACGAACACATACCAGCGAGCTGAGGTATTAAACTACAGAATATATACTCTATACCCTATACACTATACCCTGTACCCATAACCCTGTACCCATAACCCTGTACCCATAACCCTG